CAGAAAAGAAACAAAAAAGGAGCAGACAGCCGTTAAAAGGAAAAACAGCGTGAACTGACCGCTAAGTGCGAAACAGCTTTCCTTCCAATATTTACTGTCGTAGATTCGTTGGCGTATGATTTTTTCAACAAGAAACTGTGGATTTGTCCCTAAATAATCAAGCTTACAGATAAACTTGAATCACAAAGTGCAGCCATAAGCAAGGTACTGTACGACTTGTTCATGAGCTTGAGTCAAGCAAAACGTGCTGGCACAAAACCACTCTCTTCTCTCTCTCCATCTTAGTGTTTACACTGTCCGGTGATTGTGGAGCTCAGGTGCGAATATGTGTGATAAGAAGCATTAAGAAGCATAAGCGATGCAATGGCATTGGAGAACTTAATTATCACATGAAGTTATAAAGTAGGCAAAAGCGATATGAATGACTGCAATAGTCTCAGCTTCTTCATCAAAGGGAAGCTTTAGCAGTAGAGATCTGCCAGAAAGCGTTCAGGTATTATGTTCGCTGATAAGAAGCACTAAAAAAGCGAGAGAGAAGCTAGCAAAAACCTGATATTTAATACCTTAAAACCATATACTTATTCGACAAGGAGTGAAAGCGTGAAAAAAAGTGACAGAGGAGCGGAAGATGACTAAAAAACTAGTAAAGGATGAAAAGGAGAAAAATGAGTTGAAATCGAATGCGATGTCACGTTCAACATGAGCGTTGGAAAGAGCATCACCACAGCTGAGCGGCTGAGAGGAAGAATATTCATAGGTTGGCGACCGAATTCACTACAAATTCACGTTCCCACAAGCACGATCTTGGCATTTTCACTATACTCAAAGTGCCAGGTTTTCTTATACCATGTAGGCTTACAGCAACCAAATAAGGAAAACCGTGCACTTTCAAGGGATAAACCTAATTTTCTATGAGTGCATTTAATTTACTGCAGAACGCCATTACTCGAACTTAACACATAAAAGGAGTGAGGTTCACTAGGACAGAAGACGACTTTTTCGCTGGGGAACCTCAGGGGCCGTAAGGTATGCTTCCCCGAAGGTTCCTTCAAATTTTCTCTGTAGTCCCAACTGGAATTGCCCTGATAAAGGGCCTACATCTACAGGGTGGTCCAAAATTATGAGGACCAAGACATTGTGTCGTTAAAAACGCATAGTAGCTTGATGGAACAAACAAACTTCAGGGAAGTATTTGTAACTCTTACCTCAAAGTAATTCCAGAATAGAATTGAGATCTGCCACCTGCCCCGTTTACACGAGCCTTCAGATGAAGGGGATGGCGCGTGCGGTGGCACGCAACTGAGGCGTGTCAAATGTTTCCAGGCCTTCTGCTCTGCCTTCTTCAGGGAATCAAAGTTTTGTGGGCATTTATTTGCGCTTGCATCCAGGGTGTGAAATACAGAAATCTAGAGCTATTAGGTGGAAGGTTCCATTGTAACAATTCTTCGAAAGCAACGAACTCGAAAAATCGCTTTTTAGAGAATTTTTGCTTTATTCTTGGGTGCTCGGTCCTGTAAAAGTCCCAAGTAGACTACTCGTGTGGCTTTCTATCCACTACAGATGTGGAGTCTTTAGAGTGTCTGGCTGGGTTTTCACATCAATTTTTTCATTTTGGGAGTACGAAAGTCGACAAGGGGAGACCTAGTTTCTGCATCTGATAATTATCCTGGTGGTAACTGTAACTTTCGAGTCCCGAATTTTCCATCTGTGGTGGTTCCAAACTTATTGAAGAGTTGAACTGTTGCTCATAAGGGCTTCCCTGATAGGTTAGACTGCTGCTAGATGTAACGTGCCAGAGCCCCTAGTGAGTTCAATTTGAGGACTGACTTAAAGTGAAGTAGTTATTTCACTAGTTTTGAGAACTTCATGAAATTTGGTTTCATTAGGAAGAAGACATTGTACCCTTTCACATAGTGCACAGAAAACGAGATGAAAATGGAGCGATACGGAAAAAAGTGGATATGACTGCGCGCGCACGCGGTCCTCATAATTTTGGACCACCCTGTAGCGCAAACATGGACAAAAGCCGAGCGCAATGCAGCGTACCCCTGCCCACAAACCTCTCGGATTTTTCGTAACTGTTTTGATTTTCACGCTTTAGAATCAA